CCTTCTTTTCCAAGTTTCCAGAAATTTAATTATGATATCTCTATATAAACTTATTTGAGTTTATCTTATTTGGAGTTTGCTTAACTTTTGAATCGATAAATTTATGTCTCTTGGCAAATTCAATAAATTTTCAAATACTGCTTTTTTGACCACTATTTAGCCCCATTTATCTTCTATTTCCAGGACTAAAATAATGTGTGTATACTTTGCATCTTGAGTTATTTCTATAGCTTATGGGTTGAGATCTTGGTTACCAAACTGTGACATTATTATTGGGGAATGGAACTCTTAGGTGATAAGGGCCTGATGGGAAGGTAGGGCATGAAAATGTGAAGGATATTTGAAGGGATATTGTGACTCTACCTTCTCTCCTTCAGTTCCTTGTTGGCACTAGATAATAGGCTTCTCTACCACATACTTCTATGATTTCCATAATTTTCTAGCTTCCACAACCCCAAGCAACAAGGCCAAATATTCATGAACTAAAACTTTTGAAGGTGTGGGACTGTCTCTTACAAAAACTCAGTGGCTGCCTCTTTGATCACCACCCCCTGAGGGAGAAACAGCCTTACCAGGCCCCAGAGTAAGACAATGCAGCCAGTCCTGATGAGACCTGATAGGTTAGGGTCAGAGGAAAGGGGAGGAAGACCTCCCCTATCAGTGGACTTAGAGAGGGACATGGGAGAAGATGAAGGAAGGAGACTGGGTTTGGGAGGGGATTAGCGAGGGGTCTATAGCTGGGATACAAAGTGAATAAACAGTAATTAATAAAAGTAAATAAATTCTAAAAATAAAAAAATAAAATTTCTATTTAATAGTAATTTTTATTGCATCTCTGTTCTATGACTACATTTTTGCATTTGCTTCAGGCAGCTCATAATTATTCACTGAAGCACTTGCCATGGTTGCTTAAAAATCTTAATTAGATAATTGTAAGACCTCTGTCATCTAAGTGTTGACATCTGCATTCATTTTCTAGGGTTGTAACAATCTACCACAAACTGGGTCGGGGAAAAGAATAATAATTAGTTGTCTCACACAGTGCCTTCTAGAATTTTTTAAATGAGATTTCAGCAAGGCCAGGTATCCACTGAAATCCATAGTGAATCCTCTGTTGTCTTCCCTAGTTTTTGATAATATTCTGGAAATACTTTATTTTTTGTGGCTTACAGCTCAATAATGCATTTCCTTTGTCACAATGTGGTGCCTTCGCTGTGTGTCTCTTCTCTCTTTTATAATGAGGCCAGTTATGTTGAATTAACCAACATCTCATCATAATCAATCATTTCTGTAATATCTCTACTTCCAAACAGGGTCGCATTTAAAAATTTAAGCAAAATGCATTTCAGTATGTAACAGCACCACATATTGCCTTTTCACTTCTAGTTTGAGCTCTTTCTTGTTCTTTTTTTAATTTTTCTTATTTTTATTTTTATTTTTTTTTCTTATCAGTTACATTTTATTAACTCTGTATCCCAGCCGTGTCCCGATCCCTCATTCCCTCCCCAGTCCCATCCTCCCTCCCTCATCTCCACCGTGCCCCTTGCCAAGTCCACTGATGACATGATGGGCAGCAACGACATATATGGTCTTAGTTTATAATACTTGCATCTCAATTTTGTTTACTTTTTAAGACAGTGTTCTGGAAATATTGTCTTGTTCCTGGCAAGTGTGGGTAACAGTCCATGAGCACCTCCCATGACACACAAGTAAAGGAGCACATTATCACTCTTGGGAAGAGGTGGGAACTTTGCTGTCAGAGTCTTGATGGGCTCTACTGTAGAGACATTTGTATGTCTGGGGAATGTTTTTACACATGCCACGGAGACTGCAGGAGTTTTCTGACATGCTCAAGTAGAAGTCTCCTGCTTCACCTCCTTGCCATCATACTGATGTATAAATAATTGGAGCCCCTTGTTACATTGCAAAGGTAGATGAGGATTCCTACCTTTGTTGACACAAGTATATGCAAAGTTAACAGTTTTGCTTGTGGAGTTTGAAGAACTGTTGTTATTATCTAAAATTTTCATTTTAGTAGATTACTTTTTTTTTTTTTTTTACTGGAAAATCAGTACCATTAATGTATCTCAAACAAACAAACAAACAAACAAAAAATTCCAGGTCTTATTTAGGATATTTGAAGTAAAAATAAAACCCACAGAGGTCATTACTGCACCATCTATTAGACCTGAGTTATCAACCATTTCACTTTTCTCTCTATTTTCCTAGACTTTTTATGTGTAATTTAAAACCAGGGATTTAGCAGGAGGAACAAGAATAAGTGTGCTTATTCCACAATTCCCCAAAAGAATTCAGTTTGCTTTTGTGTCTTAAAATGATGGGGTTTTGTTTAAAGATATCCATGTCTAATTATGTATATTTTCACCTCTAATTTATTTCAATTTTTACATTAAAATTCTTCGTTCTTACAGTAGTCTATTTTTGGTTTTTATGATTTGTGTCATCTTCCTGGTTGTTCATGACTTCTGTATATTTTTGTTTTTAATATTACAGAACACTGGAATTTATGTTAACTTAGAGTATATCATAATTATATATCACATATAAATATATATTATAAAATAAAATGTATAACTTATAAGACTATTATATTAAAACTTTACTGTTTAATTCCTTCTTTCAGTAAGTATAATTTATTTTATTAAGCTGCAGCATACTTTTAACTTCAAAATGATGTCATTACATAATTATGTTTAATAAGTGGCTTTAGAAAGCAGACAAGTAGATAAAAACCTTTCCATGTAGAAGAGATGGGATACTTTTCCTCTTCTTTCTGCTGGTTCCATGAGTCTTTGGCTCTTTTTCCTTTCATTGTGAGGTCATAAGAAGATCTAAGCCTACAGACTTGATAGGACGCCAGCTAACTGGATGACATGTTAATTGCACTGTGCAGTCACCTTCCCTGAGATCCAAGATTTGCTCTCCTTTAGCATCTAGCAAGGCATCATAAATTATAGGCCTATGAGCCTAGATATTATATTTGCCTAAAAGCCTTCACTGAGGGCCATCTCTACTAGATTCCGCACACAAAGAATGCACTTTTGTCAAGGTGACATGAGAAAACTCTTTGATTGTCCTGTAGCTTGGTATTATACAGAATAGAAATCACACAGAGCTCTGTCCAAAGTTTGGCTAAGAGTCTCAGCCTCTGCTTTGATACCTTGATCAGTAGAGTCTTTCAGAGGTCCTCTGTGGTAGGTTCCTGTCCTGTTCCTTGTCTTCTCCTGCAGCCAAAATCACTGGGCCCTGGAGGCCCTGCAGAGACTGATACCCCAACCAAGGACCATGCAAGAAGATAACCTAGAACCCCTGCTCAGATGTAGCCCATAGACTCAGTGTCCAAGTGCTTTCCCTAGTAAGGGGAGCAGGGGCTGTCTCTGGCGTGAACTCACTGGCAGGCTCTGATCACTTTCCCCTGGAAGGAGGGGTGCAGCCTTGCCAGGCCACAGAGGAAGACAACGCAACCAGTCCTGATGAGACCTGATAGGCTAGGGTCAGATAGAAGGGGAGAAGAACCTCCCCTATCAGTGGACTAGGGGAGGGGCATAGGGAGAAGAGGGAGTGAGGGTGGATTTGGAAGGAGAGAAGGAAGGGTGCCACAGCCAGGATACAAAGTGAATAAACTGTAATAAATAAATAATAAAAGAAATCACACAGCAGTTTGTGTGTCTTTTCTTTAGAACTAGGAAGGTTAGTGTCAGTAAAATATGGATCTGCTTCTTATGTCTATCCTTTCTGAATGAGGATTGATAATCTTATCCAGGGTACTCCTTCTTTCTTAGCTTCTTTAGGTGAACAGATTTTAGTATGTTTATCCTATACAGTATGCCTAATATTCACTTAGAAGTGAGTATATAGCATGTGTGTCTTTCTGCTTCTGGGAGACATAGGAAGAGGGAGAAAACAGGGAACAAGCCAGGAGCCTACCACAGAAGGCCTCTGATAGACTGTACCCATCAGGGTATCAAAGCAGATGCTGAGACTCATAGACAAACTTTGGGCAGAGTGCAGGGAATCTTATGAAAGAAGAGGGAGAGAGAAAGACCTGGAGGGGACAGGAGCTCCACAAGGAGAGCAACAGAACCCAAAACTCTGGGCACAGGGGTCTTTTCTGAGACTGATACTCCAACCAAGGACCATGCATGGAGATAACCTAGAACCCCTGCTCAGATGTATCCCACGGCAGCTCAGTGTCCAAGTGGGTACCCTAGTAAGGGAAACAGGGGCTGTCTCTGACATGAACTCAGTGGCTGGCTCTTTGATCACCATCTTGAGGCGGGGAGTAGCCTTACCAGGCCACAGAAGAAGACAATGCAGCCAGTCCTGATGAGACCTGATAGGCTAGGGTCAGATGGAAGAGAAGGAGGACCTTCCCTATCAGTGGACTTGGAGAGGGGCATGGGAGGCGATGAGGAGGGAGGGTGGGATTGGGAGGAGACAAGGGAGGGAGCTACACCTGGGATACAAACTGAGTAAACTGTAATTAAAAATATAAATAAAATTTTAAAAATAAGTAAACTAATAATTAAAAAAAGAATGGATCTGCTGCGTCAGTGCATTCTTGATTTGTAACTTCCTCCTAAAGGATTTACAGTATTTTAAAATTTCATTTATTACACTGGCTTTCCTTTCTCATTTTGAATATTTTGTGGTAAATATATTGATTTCTTTTAGACAAAAGGTTTGGTGAAATAATTTAATTATTAGTGCTCTTCAAATAATTTCACCCTCTATTAAGTTGGAAGGGTTGCATAAATTACTGTCTTGGCAAATAACAAATTCAGATACAACGTATGAACGGATGAAGAAAGACATGCTTGTACCCCAACTAATGCCAGAAAGTAATCACTTTCAAGGGTCTGCTCCTCATTCTCTGTTCATGAAATGTGCTTTACCCATCTGTTACATCAACTGGGCCACCTTGATACTCCCATGTCTGGAGTGAGTCTCTCGTGGGAATTATGCACACTGATACTTACTTATTTGTCAGCAGCCGATAGTCCGCCACTTTAGTGCACAGATCGAGTATCTGATCCAAAATTTCTGAACATATCCCATAATGCTTCTTATAACGTGCTTGGACTCTTTCCACAGAGATCTTTTCATGCATTTCCTTCTCCCTGGCGATTTTTTCGGCAAAATCAATTTTGGCTTGTTTGGCAAGAGCCTAAGATGGCAAAAAGGACCCTTAAGTCACTAATATTATGCAATTATTCTTATAAAGATAGCGTCATAATAGCAAAAAAAAAAATCTTTAAATAAGATGAATCCCTTCTTCACATCAGGGTTTAACCAATCAAGAATCAGTTGTCATTCCTTAATAGACTAAGCATTTGGTGTGACAGAAAAAACAACACTAGAGAGACTTCATATTTAGCTCATCAACAAAACACTACAGTGCAAAGTGGTTTGGAAGGGAAAAGATCAGTGTCACAAAAATAAATTGGGTCTTAGGCTTTCCTGAAGGTGTCTCAATTTCATCATTTGCAAAGAGTCAAAGAGCACAGAGAAACAGGTTAGTCTGGGTCAGATGGCAAGCAGGGCTGACGTTTGCACACTCTGTGACCGGGACCCTGCACCCGGAGCACCTGCTTTGGCCACTGGATTTTACATTTCAGCAGTAACTTATCAACTGGCTAAATATGTGGTAGCCACTTGATTACAGTGCTTTGAAACACATGCTTTTGCACATTTTAGGAGTGTTAAAGCCCCGACCGCCTTAGCCTTTCTGTATTGATAACATTCATTTGTAGAAATCTATTGCTACAGAAAGTAATTAAATATTTAAGCATCTCATCACCACCTTCAAATTAATCATTAGTCAAATGTAATCATTTTGTTCAACTCATTCTTCACAAACAAAACAAAACAAAACAAAACAAAAAAAACCATGCAGGCTAGCTGAACTGAAAGGAACACAGTGCTTAGTTGAAGAGATTCAAATGATCAAATGATGCCTTTCAGAAAACCCTAGCAGCTGCTTCAGAAATCAGACCATGTTCTAAGCCGCCACACAAACAAGATCTAAGGCCTGTGATTTAATTCAGCCAGGAGAAAATAGAAACAAATGGGGGTTTTGAAGGAACTGCCTTCAAATTCAATCCCCAGCTTATGTACAGAATTAAAGTTCAAGATATTTAAGAAATAACTCCAACAAATCACTTTTCCACCACCAAGTTTTAATTTCCACAAGAGGGATATTAATAATTTTATTATACCCTGAAAAATTAACTGAAACATTTCATCTGAACAAATCGTTCTTATCACAATAAATAATGAGACTGATGATGATAAATTGCTCTTCAAAGTCCATTGTTTGTTGTACTGTTGTCTTATTTAGCATGTTTGTTTTAAATTTCATTGAGATGGGTGACTTCTAAGATCAGTCCAGTGTATTTGGTAGCTTTGGGAATGGCCCTAGACATTTCTGCTGCTGCCTTGTTTCATAGGTCTTGTATCCATGCAGAGCACAGGAGAAACAAGGAGCCTCATACATGTTGCATGATATCAAGAAGAGCGCTGGGCAAGAAAGTAGACGTGAGAGTTTGTGGTGATTGTAACACTAAAATAGCTAAGGCTGGGTTTCCACAAAAAACAAAACACTGACAGAAACTACAGAAGTTCCCTAGCAGCAACAAAATATCTTCCACGATAGGCTGCTGCTGCTGCCACAGCCTCCTGGCTCAGTTTTCCTTCTTTCCTCTCTCTATTCCTTCTTTCCTTCCTTCCTTCCTTCCTTCCTTCCTTCCTTCCTTCCTTCCTTC